TCAATTATTGTTTCATAAAAGGGTTTTATTAGGCATGCAAAGATTAAAAAAAAAAGTTATTTTAGTCGAAAGACATAATGTAAAATATGTGATATTTTATTCTCAAGATCTTGCCTTTGACGGTCTCTTCTAATATCTCAATTTTCAATATCATCATGTTAACGACGTGATAATTATCGTCTTGAAAATACAACATATTTTGAAGCTGTATCTTTGAACAATCCAATATCCACAATTGTTTCATTAGTTTTCAGTCGAAAACTCTGTTTTTTAATCTTCGGCTCTACGGCACACGGAAAAATCTTCGGCAAACTGTTCATAACTTTGATATTTTTTTCTTTTTTAAGAACGCGCTATGATTTTTCTTCAGTTTTTGGAAAGATTTTCGGCAGGAATGTCAAATCTAATGATCTTTTTTTTTTTAGAAAACGCATTAGAAAGCAATACAAATTTATCAATTTTCGATGGGATAATGCTCGAGATTTCCAATGGGAGAATAGAATACTAACTGAAAAGTGGCAACTGTGTATCCTAGAGCTTTAAATTTACAAGAGTAGTGCATTGCTTTTATCTGGAGAATGCCGACATCAGAGCCGAGACCAGAAATTTCAGCACCCGAGAAAAAAAAATACGCTCTTTAAAAAATATTTCTTTATGACATGTAAAATATAATAAGAAATAATATTAATTAATAGTAATATATTAATATTAATTTAATAGAATCACGTGTATACAGGAGAGCAGTTGTACATTATAAACATATAGATTTACATATATATGTTACAAACGAAATATAATTATTAAAATCATACCTAATATTTTTCGTGCTTCAATAGTTGCGAAATTATTATATCAATTGTATTAATTATTCTATCAAAATATATACCCTTATGTATATATATCATTTTCAATTAAAAGAATATTTATATTTGATTATTTTCCCTGATTTGAGTGACATTCTTAAATAATTTTTTATTAACTTCAATTTACTAAAATTTCTTTCACATGAAACTATTTTACTAGAATAGTTAAAAATATTCTTGCGACTACTTCTAACTTTGGTTTGGTTAAAGAATAATCATAAATTAGTTTCATAACATCTAAAATAGGAACTGATTCTATATTTGTAGCAACAAGTAGACCGTAAATCAAAATCATCATTAGTAACGAATTAAGATATGTAAAAAATTACATTGCCATTTTTGCACTCCTTTAAATTTTTTACATGACACAAATGTCTTGCATCTATTGCTTTCCTTATTTCGACTGCAATTATTTATCTAATTAGTCTATCATTCAATAAGTGCTTAGTAATTTTTTAATATAATATAGTTAGATATGATTGTCGGATCAAACTTGACGATCATTTAAGCTACTCTTGTAAATCTAGGGCTTTAATTCGGTCAGCTATAATGCGTCCTCGCCGGGATAACGGATTCTCGGATCGTTACTAAAATTAATAGTCGACTAATACAGATTGGGAACGAGCGGATGCGCGATGCGTAGATTCGTGCGATCGTAAATCCTGCGGAAAAGATGGAATGTCGATTCGATTTGGTGGATGCTGAAGCGGCATAAACGTTTCCGCTCTCGTGTTACTTATGAGACGTGACATTAATCTATCGAGGATTCCGCGAAATTTAGCTCTATCATTTTCATCGTCAACAATTTCGCTCGGATTTTACGCGGAAATGTCTGGACCGCTCGTTTATCACGAAGAATATAAACAGGGGATTAATGTGAGAAATTAATTATGTAGAATTATGTGTTGGAAAATATATAGCGATATGCAAGTAATAATGTTATTTTCAACAAGATATTACAAAAAAATCTTGCAGAAAAGAATATCGTGGAGATTCAATAAAGAAAAAAACGGTGTCGACTTTACGAATATACGCGAATTACGCGAATGAATTGAGTCTCATTTGAACTTTTTTTCCAATTTTGTTCTGTTCTTAAATATTAGTACGTCAGCATGTATAAACTCATAACAATCCATATTTCGTTGATACACGATTAAGTTTCCTACATTTTTTTAAATATTTGTTTTTCAAAACGTGTAAGTACAATAAATTATTAAATAATAAATATAAATGTGAATATAAAACGATAAACGCGCGAATAATGCTCTTGAGCAAAATTGCAACGATGGATGATGGTCGGCCGCCGGGATGCAAGCAACAATTAAACATCGAGTTATTTTCACGTCTACTTAGCTTATTTTCACAACGCGGTCATCAATATTTCCGCCGGTAGTTCCGCCAATAAGTACAAATATAAAAACATATTTCGCGTCCAAACATGAAACGTCGCACGAGCGGCAAGCAATAAACATTCGACGGGTTTTCACTGATAATACTTTCGTAAGTGCACGGCCGTGCAAACAAAACGGTGATGCGTGTGTTGCAAATGGAGTGGCGGGATGTGAAAGAGAGGCAAAACATAATTCGAGATTTTTCCGTTTATTTCGTATCGTAGGTGTGTCTTACGTACTGATACGTAATAGTGTACTAATAATAATATTAATATCAATATGTTCCGCACGTACAAGTATATACGTGCATATATTGTTATATATACGTCATATATACACATATAGATATATATGTATACATACAGATTTGTTCTATTTATTCTATCTATGCTTCATTCTTCGTAATAATATACACGCAGATTCGAGCATTATTAACGCTAATTATTATTCACATGATCCGTGTTTATACTCAATAAATATACCTATATGTATTATA